GCGCTGCCCGAGGAGTGCGTGCGAGCACCAGGCTTTGCCAGTGCGTCAGGTGTTGGCGTGGGAAGCCCAGCGCCGTCAGGAGATGCTGCCACCCACACGCAGGCGCCGCTGGCACCAAGCTTTGCTCGTGCCTCGAGCGCCGGACCTGCAATCAAGGCAGCATCGGGTGGCGCCGCGAGCAGTCACTGTGGCACCGCAGCGCGCACGTTCGACCACGTCGACTAGCGCTCGCGCGATTGATAAGCGCACGCAGGGACAGCGCTTCACGACAATGTCGAGTGCGCTTCGCCAACATCGCCACATCACATCACGCTCACGTGCACAATCACACTACTCACTAGACTCCGCCCCGCAGGCGTCGCCAGAACAACAATCACCACTTTTGCCCACTGCTGCCCCCCAAACCTTCTTATCACCAGCAGGGTGGTCGTGTAGGAATTATTATTGCTGTTGGTTCCATCATCGAGGACGCCGGCGGCGCATCACCGGCCGCTCCCTGGGAGTTTGCCGAAGATCGCGCAGCATCGAAAGTCGTGACGTGGCGCGGCCCATCCCGCCACCGTGCTTGGGTTTTGGGTCGGAGTCCTCGTGGACGCTTCTTGGGGTCTCTCGAGAGGGCTCTCGGGGCCTCTGCGGGGGAGTTTAGGGCCTCTTGAGGGCCTTTGGGGGCTTCTTGTGAGCCTCTTGGGGGCCTCTTGGGGCCTTTGGGGGCTCTCTTGGAGCCTCTTGGGGGCCTCCTGGGGGCCTCTAAGAGCCCCCTGCGGGCCTCTTGGGACCGAAAGCTCAAAATGTTCATTCGGGTTCCCCTTCTGTTCGCCCTCTTGGGGCCGTCCTGGGGCCTCTCTTAGGCCGTTCTGGGTGCCTCTTGGGGCGTCTTGGGGCCCTCTTGCGCCGTCTTGGAGCCCTCTTGGGGGCTTGTTGGGCCGTCCTGGGGCGATCTTGGGGGCCTCTTGGGCCGTGTTGGAGCGTGGGTAAGCCGAAATGGCGAGAACGCGAAAATCCTTCAAAAACCATGCCGAAAAATCAATGATTTTTGCATGTTGGGGCTCTCTTGGGGGTGCTGTTGGAGGCCTCTTGGGCCGTCTTGGAGGCGTCTTGGGCCGTCTGGAGGCCATCTTTGGCGTCTTGGAGCGATCTGGAGCCGTCTGGAGGCTCTCTTGGACTGCTCGGGACTCTCTAGGACCGGCTTGGGGCGCCCTTGGGTCGTCCCCGGGCCGTTTGAGACCTTGAGGGGGGGGGGAGGGGGCGGCGGCAGAGTGGGGCCCCTTCGGAGGGACTTTCAGGAGGTTTTTGACAAGGCGCTGGAGAAGGGGGCCAAAGACTGTGCCGAACACTCTGTCAGAGAGGTCTCGCACGGCTCACACCGCAGGGCGGGAGCGGCCGGATCTTAAGGGCTTCGCCCTCTGCCGCCGGCCCCTTATTATGAGTGCGTGCGGCTGCGTGGATAGCGCCGTGGGTGTTTCTCGTGGTAGGCTTCACGGCAGCGTCTGCGGGTCAATGTTGGAGCTTCTGAGAAGCCGTTTTGGAGTCTCTTGGAGCATATTTAGGGCCTCTCGAATGACTCCTTGGGGGCTCTTGGGGCCCGTTGGGGGCCTCTTGGGGCCTCTTGGGGCCCTCTCGAGCGAGTTTTTGGTTCGTGGACTCCTTCTTGGGCCTCTCCTGGGGCCGTCTTAGGGCCCTTTGTGGCCGTCTGGGGCGCCTCTTGGACCGCCTTGGGGCCCTCTTGGGCCTTCTTGGGGCCGTCTTGGAGGCCTCTTGGGCCGTCATGGGGGCTTCTAGGGCCGTCGTGGGGCGATCTTGGGAACGTTTTGGTCCGACTCTGAGCGTCGCCTCCTCATCTTTCTTCCCCTTTCCCTTCCCCTCCCTCTCTCCCCCCCTCCTCCTCCTCCTCCTCCTCCTCCTCCTCCTCCTCCTCCTCCTCCTCCTCCTCCTCCTCCTTTTCCTTTTCCTTTTCCTACTCCTCCTCCACCTCTACGGTAGAGGCTCTACCACCACCTCGTCCTCCTCCTCCTCCTCCTCCTCCTCCGTTTCCTCCTCCTCCTCCTCATTATCTTCCTCTCCCGCCTCCTCCTCCTCCTCCTCATCATCATCATCCTCATCATCATCATCATCATCATCATCATCATCACCACATCATCATCATCATCATCATCATCATCATCATCATCATCATCATCATCATCATCATCATCATCATCATCATCATCATCATCATCATCATCATCATCTCCTCTCCCGCCTCCTCCTCCTCCGCCTTGTCCGCCTGCTCCTCCTCCCCTCCTCCTCCTCCCTCCTCCTCCTCCTCCCCTTCCTCCTCCTCCTCCTCCTTCTCCTCCTCCTCCACCTCCTCCTCCTCCTCTTCCTCCTCCTCCTCTTCCTCCTCATCCTCCTCATCCTCATCCTCCTCGTTCTCCCCTCCTCCTCCTCCTCCTCCTCCTCCTCCTCCTCCTCCTCCTCCTCCTCCTCCTCCTCCCCCCTCCTCCTCCTCATCCTTCTCCTTTTCCTCCTCCTCCTCCTTTTCCTCCTCCTCTTCCTCCTCCTCCGTAGCCATTTTGGCTCAAGGTCCAACCTTGCTCCCTGGGGGCTGGAACATGGGAGCTGCCGACGGGGAGGCTCAGAGGATTGCTGGAGGACAGGCCTCCGAATTCGAATTGTTTCTCCTCAGCCCTCCAGTGAATCGCTCCCCGAAGTGCTGCCATGTCCGAGGGTGCGATCGACGTCGAGGACGAAGGGTTCACGACCGTTCCGTCGAGCGCCCTGGAAATAATGGCGAAGACGATGGAGGAAAACGCCGAGTCCAACCGCACGATGGAGGCCAAGATCAGCGAGATGGTCTCCACCCAGCGGCGTGCGATGTCGGAGATCGCGAAGATAAATATCTTGGAGGCTAAGGTCATCAGCATCGAGAATCAGTTGGCCATGCTACCTCAAGGTGCGACGCAGAACGACCTGGTCATCCAATCCCAGATCCGCAACCTGGCGGAGTCTCACAAGAGGGACATGATCAGCATGCGAGATGAGGTGAGAGCGGCCACATCGACGGCGACATCAGCGGCTTCGAGTGGAGGACGACCTGTGAAGATCTCGAGGGCGGCGAGTTCGGCGCCAACGAGTCGGGTCCCGCTGGACGACGAGGCTGATGATAAACGTAGGTGGATCTGTGGTTTCCCAAGGGCGTTGCTGTCATCCGCGAAGGTGGCCCATTTCGAACAGTTGAAGTCCCACGTTAATACCCACATGGCCGAGGTTATGACGGCCAAGTTCGCGAGAATTTCCCAGAGCTACAGTGTCCACTTCGAGACTGCGGCTCAGGCGAGGGAGTTCCACGACTACATGAGTGAGTACCCGGTGCGGCGGCGTGACACTCGTGACCAGTCGATGCACGACATACGAGTCCGAGCAGACCTACCTGGAGACGTCCGAGGCCGACAGCGACAGTTGGGGCGAGTATGCATCCCAATGAAAGAGCTGCTGGTGAAGAAAGGAGTCTGGTCACAGAACGTCAAGATGGGGGCCGCCGGGTTTCGCAACGAGTTCTATTTCATCAAGGATGGCGACATATGGATTCTCTTTCGAGGCACAGTAGATCCGTTGCACAGGCTGCCGGTGCACGCCACGGACGACGTCAATAATCTCAACATTGGGCAGGAGGACATCGACAAGATGTTGAAGCTGCTCAATGAATGGGATCTCGCGCAACCAGTTCAGTTCAGAATTCAGGTCGTGCATATAGACATGACCATGAGGAGTTCTTGGGCGAGGACGGTCATCGTTCCCCTTCCCCTCCTTCTTCTGGCTCTCCAACTTCGTGTTCATCCTCTGGGGTATCCAGCTCTCGTGACGAATCGTCGTCTGAAGATGGCTCTTGGGCGGATGAGGAGGATCAAGTATTGGATTCGCCGTTTATCCCGTCTCGGCGTCTCAAGATCGCGACGTGGAACGCCCGCGCCCTGTTCGGCTCGCTGTACTCCGACGTTGCGATGCAGGCTCGGACCAGAGCAACGGTGCAGTCGCTGTGCGCCAGCTCCGACGTGGTGGTGCTCCAGGAGTGTCATGGTTGTCGAGAAGATCTCCTTCTCCTGCTTCCTGACGTACAGCAGTTTGATGGGTGGGGAACCTTCTTGCCCGACCGTGCTGCTGGAGGGTCAGTGATCTTGATCCGCCGAACTTTTTTGAAGCTCTACGCGCACGTGCGTCACCAGGTCATCGCCAAAGGGGAGGTGCCACAACGTACATATTAGGGGGAAACTCGGGCGCATGTCAATTATCAACATTCACATCAATCCCGCCTTATCTAACAGTATGAAGAATGGGTTGATTCGACGGGTGGGCTTCTCAGTCGAACCTGTCAGCAAGTGTGCTACTTGGGTCTTGGGTGATTTCAATTGTCTCGATCCTGGGGGCTCCCGACTTTTTCTCCGAGCTGAACCTGTTTCATGTAAAACAGATACGGTTGGAGGCTTCTGCGCCAACACTTTTCCTTACTTGTGCGAGCTGGTGCAGCTCAACCCGACATTTAGAATTTAGAGTGAAACAGAACAAGAAGCTCGTCTCTGCTGGCAGGTTAGATAGAATATATGTTTCTATGGACTCTGGGCACTTGCTGGATTTGATGCCGGCCGCGGGCGTCGTCTGGCCCGTCGCAGACTTGTCCAGGCCCAGCGACCACGCGCCCGTCTACGCCCAGCTGAACCCAGGTCGCAGGCCGTCGGCTCCGAGGATCCCGTCCTGGGTGGTCAAAAAACCGCAGTTCCCACCTCTGGTTCAGGACCTCTCGAAAGACATGCCTGTGTACGGGGGCGCTTCTCTCAGGCTCCGTGGGCTCAAGGAGGTATTTCATGAGGCAGCTCGTCAGGTGAAAGAAGGTTTGTCAGTCGACGGCCCCGCGACCTCGCAAGAAATGTTGCCCTGGCACTTCGCCGTCTTGCGCGCGATGACCCAGGGGAATAGAAAAGTCGTGCTGAAAGCTGTTCGAGCTCTCCCTGAACTCAGCGACTTCATAGACGCGGATGGGAATCTCTGGGTGGCTTACGCTGGTTTCATGAACCGGATGAGGAGTATATCTGAGCAGGTTCTGGAGGAGGAGGTGCAGGGGCTTTTCGCGACTCCACAGCTTTCGGAGGAATACAAAAGTAAGAAGGCTCAGCAGGTTCAGAGGTATATCCAGGTCTGGCGGGCCCGAAATCGTCGAATTGTTTTAACTGGAGTTGAAGCACCTGGCGGCAGTGTTCCAGAGACGCTCGAGGGCAGCGCTGAACTACTTGCTCGGCATTGGGGGGGGGGGGGGGGGGGCGTGCATTCAGATCGACCCAGGGACCCTGCTCACCGTCAACCATTTCGGAGGTTTGTCCAGAAGGCTTCGAGCAATGTTCTATGGGAAGTTACGTTTGAGCAGTTCCTCCAGGGGCTCAAAAGATTTCGGGGCCCCTCTCCTGGGCCAGATGGTATTCCGTTCAGCTGCTACTCTCACTGCGGGGAACTAGGCGCGCAGATTCTGTTCCAGGCCTATCAGGCCCTGCTTGCTGGTGAGGCAGAGGACGACACGTTTAACGAGTGCCTCGCAGTCTTCGTTCCAAAGGGGGAGATTCCCGAGTGCATAGACGAGCCGATTAAAGCCCCGTCTGAGGTTCGGCCGAGTTGTCTGGGAAATACTGCTAATAAGCTTGTAAGTGCGTGGTTGAATTGGGGGCTAGCCAAACAAGCATCGATATCATGTGCCGAGCCTCAGCGTTGGTTTGTCATCCGACGACAGTTGAACGAGAACGTGCTGGAGGCCAATTCGATGCTGGCGGTCTGGTTCCGTGTCTCTGGCGAGAGGGACGCAGGAAGCATCATGCTCGACGTCCGTGCCGCCTTCCCTTCTCTCAACCATGGGTGGGTATGGTATGGTGGGTCCTAGAAGTCATGGGTATCCCAGCTAACATAATCAACGCGTTGAAGTTTCTATATCGTGGGATATCGGTTACTCCGATCCTGTCTGGAGGTCGGTTTCCTGGATTCGTGATACCGTCGGGTATAAAAACAGGGGTGCCCAGCCTCGGGATCGATGTGCGCTCTCGCCCTTGATCCAGTGGTCCGTGCTCTATCCTGCGTCCTTCCAGAACCAAGCTGCTGCTTGCGCTGGTTCGCCGACGACATTACGCGCGGCTCGCGCGACCTTTTTGGGAGTGCCCCCGTTGTGCTGGTCATCATGAACCAGTGCGGATTGGCGGCTTGCCTATATCTGAACAACAAGAAAACGGTAATCGTGTTTATGGCATCGTACTCGGAACAGTACACTCGAGATCGATTCGACGAAAAGGAAGAATAGTTGGGAAGTATTCAGGTCAGAGTCAATGGCAAGTACTTGGGGATCTACCTAGGGCGAGGCGGGGATGAGCTAAGTTGGCAAGGCCCGATGATAAAGTACGTACGGAGGGCGAGGGAACATAGAGGTCTGGGCATGAGTTTCGTCGAAAACATCGTGTGCTATAAGACCTTGGCGGTGCCAGTCACTCAGTTCGTTGGCCAGTTCTTTGAGCCTCCGCCAGCTATGTTCCGTCTGGAGGACGAGTGCTTTCAGTTGCTGGTGAACGGCCCGAGGCGCGCTGCACCGCGAGCCGTGTTCTTCGATCTAGAGAGCGTCGGCATCAAAGTGAAGGTGCCCCAGCTCCGTCACTTGAGTCTGGCCGCGAGGTACCGTACAGCGATGAGAAGTCAGGTATCACCCAGAATGATCCGATGGTATAATGATACATTAGAGTCCAACGAGTACCTCGTGACCCATTTCTGTAACCCGCTCTTTCAGGAATCCTGTCTGTATCAGTTGAACAAGGTGATGAGTTTCCTGGGCGTTATCCCCGAGATCTCGAGGACCCATTGAAGAAAGGTTTCCAGGCTGCTGTACTCCGAGTGTTGCAAAAACGATTCCCTGGTATACGGTGTTGTTCTGCCCTCGTCCGGCGAGCCTCGTACTCCCAGGGGCATCGAGCGGTGAGCCTAGATACTGAGACCCGTATGCAAATTAAGTTCGGTAGAATTGGTCAGTATGTCCCGAGCGTTGTAGTATCTAGTGTTTTATATATATAAAACGATATGTAACGCGTGGTCTACCACTCGTCGGTACCATCAGGGTCCTGGCCGATGTCTGTTTGGGTGTTCCAACGTAGGTGGGGACGACCTAGTACACTACCTTTGCTGTCCAGTTGCCGAGCCTGCCCTGTTATAGCTTCTTCCGAGACTTGATCCAGAGCTTCTGAATCTTAGTGGCCCTCAGAGGGCCTGCCCGCACCTGTTTCCAGGAGACCTGGATTCTCTGGTTAGTTGTGCTATGTACCTGGACATCTGTTTTCACCCGTTCAACAAACTCCGCAATGCTTCTAGGAGGCTGAACCTCCAGAATCTTCTCAAGGCCCAAGCGAAGGTGCTGGCCCAGAGGCACGCTGGGCTGCGTCGAGTTCTGCAGGGAGGACACGCGGGGTTGGGATGAGCGCACCTCCTCCTCTTCCTCCTCCTCCTCCT